AGAGAGAGAGAGAGAGAGAGTTGAGGTTCACTAGTGCGGGCCAAAACGACAACAAACAGCACCGGTGGACACTGATATGACACTCAGTAGTGAACCCGACCGCCGTTGAAATTGAGGCAGACATAGAGGGATGTACAGGTTGAGGGATGCATGTCTGTCATCATCCCTGATGTCTTACATGGTTTGTCGTGGTGTGTGGGTGTGACTCCGGTCGCTGCCGTGACCGAGGACTGACTATTGCGTCTTCTGTTGACAAGCCGGGGTGTAATGTCTCTCCCCAAGCTGTCGCCATTGCGCTGTGAATGAGGCAACTTAGGTTGACTCCCCATGTCAGTGACGTTGCTAGCACAACCTCTTTATTGACCAGAACAAACCATCCCTTGCCAACACGTGACCACTTTTTCTCCTTGTTGCATGATTTCATTATGCTGGTCACTGTGGCATACTGTAGTGCACCATCTGGTGTTGCCCCCTTCATCACAAGACGCATCGCTTTGTGCGGATCGGGAAAAGCACGTGCCAACCTCAGAATTGCRTGTGCCCACCCTTTTGTCACTTGTTCACCCGCACCCTTCAAATCATAGTATACATCATGTTCCTCGTCTTCCTCGTCGCTGCTGACATCGCTGCCGCTCACTTCCACGTCAAAAGATGATGCCCCCTCATCCTCTTCTTCATCTTCTTCTTCTGCACTGTCTGTGTACTCTGCACAACAACTTGGCAAATCGGCCTCTTCAAATCCACGATCACCCTGTTCTTTCTCCATTGTGAAAGCATTGAAGATATCGCAACACACTAGCTGTTCTCTCGTTGCTATCTGCATGAGAGGCAGATCGACTGCCATACTGGTTATTGATTCTTGTGCTGCTGATGTCTGTCCGTTGTCTGGAATGATTGTTAAATTTGTTTCCGTGGCCATCACCTTCCACCCTTCTTCTCTTTCTCTTTGTCTCTCAACATGCAAGACCGAGCCACTCCAAAGCAGCTGATAACAACTCCCCCCACAACGGTCTGCCAGATATGATGTTGTCTTCTGTTATTGCTGGCACAAATTYTATCAGATCTTGACCCTGCAGTGCAAACTCTGTCACTTCGTGCAACACCTTATGGATGACGTTCCTGTCGTCGTCACTTTTTTTCATGAAGTCCACAAGTTGATACAGCYGAATATATTCCACACCATCTGCGACAATTACAGGAACATCTTGAAAGTCTTGTGGCGGTGTTTGTGTAATGTCCTTCATTCTGGACAACATCARTATTTTTGCAGCACCACTCTTCAACTCCTCCTTCGACCCATCAACCAGCATTCCCCCATTCCGTGCGACAGTGCCCAGCAACTTGCCAAAGTTCGCAGGTGTATATGTCTCCCCTGTCTGTTGCATTGTCATGTCCACGTCTCCTTCTTCGCACATCCCTTCACTGCAGATCCACTGGACCACTCCTTTTAGACTGTATGCACTGTTTTCCACATCGCTGTCCACACGTACATGTGGTGACTCTCTGAAGCGTTGCAAGAGTGTTCGTGCTTTGACACAACCCTCACCGTTTGCCATGATTGTGGATCTCATATCCACTGCGACTATGAAGTACCTCGGCATTCTGTCCTGAAGCAAAGACAACTCGCTGTCACCGTTGTAGTGGACGCCCTCCTTTGCATACTTCATTACCTTTGCAAGAACAGCCTCCACCTGTGCTACTGACATCGACATGATGCGTACGGTTTGTCTTTCGTCCTCTTCTCTCTGCCAGCGGAAACGCACAATGACGTCATCGACATGTGTGTGTGTGTGTGTGTGTGTGTGTGTGTGTGTGTGACGTCTATGTATGAACCTATGTGGATGTCTGTGTGTCTTTGTGTATATGTCTATGGATGTGTGTGTATGAATGGTCTGTGCGTGTGTCTGCATGTCTGTTCCCAAGTTGGCTACTGCGTGTCATTCGAAGTCGCAACGGTAATCATTCGTCGGTTTCTGAAATGCATTAGCCAACTTGAAGGGTGCATGTCAGAATATGTGTGTGTGTGTGTGTGTGTGTGTGTGTGTGTGTGTGTGTGTGTCTTTCTGTATATGTCTGTGTGCGTGTGTGCATTTGTTATGCATGTTTGCTTGTGCATGTGTTAGCATGTCCAACTTCAGGTTGGTTACTGCGTGCCATTTGAAGTCACAACGGTAATCATTCGTTAGTTTCTGGCACGCAGTAGCCAACTTTAAGGGTGCATGCCAGAATGTGTGTGTGTGTGTGTGTGTGTGTGTGTGTGTGTGTGTGTGTGTCAACTTTAAGTGTGCATGCCAGTTTCTGGCATGCAGTGGCCAACTTTAAGGGTGCATGCCAGAAAGAAAGAGAAAGAAAGAAAAAAAAAAAAAAAAAAAAAAAAAAAAAAAAAAAAAAAAAAAAA